CACAATGTGAACTCTATAGCCAAAAAATTTGATATACATAACTGCCCCTTCCCCAAGACTTGGGAATCGCCCATTCCTACTGATACACTACAACTCCCGTAAAGAAGGAATGAGTTCTTGACAAGGTTTAAAAAATTGAATCGGGTGCTGACTCATGTAGTAATGGATTTGAGTCAGCGCGTCAATTCCTGAGTCACCTTGCCAATCTTCAAGTCACATTGACAATTCTGGGTGGGATGCCCTAAACAATGAAAAAAATAAAGGAAAAATTGAAAAAATTGAATCGGGTGCTGACTCATGCAGTAATGGATTCGAGTCAGCTCGTCAATTCCTGATTTACCTTGCCAATCCTCAAGTCACATTGACAATTTTGGGCGGGATGCCCTAAACAATGAAAAAAGAAAAGGAAAAAGATCAATGGTAAGAAAAGAAGAAATTAACATGTGACTCAAGAATCACCGAGGCCCTACAATTAATAGGGCGATTCATTACAATAAACTGCCCAGTTCTAGACAATCCAAGTGATGCCCCAGTTCAGAACCATCCAGGATAGGGGAACCCCTGGCCCAAGTCGACTCTAGCAAAACCAATATATATATATATACACACACACACACACACAATTGGTCGCTAGCTAGAAATTCATCATAAAACAAACAATTAGAACGAAATAAAAGATATTGAGTTCAACGTTTGCAAATTTTTAAGGCCTCCTTGGGATTGAGATCCCTTCAGCCCAGGAATGTGCCCTCCTTTTCTAGTGGTGGTGCAACCTCTAGCATGGGCGTCGAAACTCCTTTTAGTCAGAGATCAAGATCCCGTTTTATCGAGGCCATGATCCCTATAAGATGAGAATAGGGCTGGCAATAGGGCAGCCATGGCCCTAGCCTGGCCTTGGTCTCTAAGGGGCCAGCCCGAGCCTGGCCCGGCCTTGATCGGGGTAAGAAGCCCTGGGCTTGGCTCAGACCAGGCCTAATACACTTGAAGGGAAAAAAAAATAAAAATAAAAAAGAAAGAAAGAAAAAGATAAGAAAACAAAGGGTGGGACCAGGCCCATCCAATCCTGGCCTTGTGGCCCAGATACGGTCTGACCTTACCCTCGGGTCGTGGTGGCTCTGCCTTCAGGCCACATTTTGTGATCTAGGCCCTAGTTTTACGGGGCCAGCAGCTCCACATGGCTCATTGCCAGCCCTAGATGAGAATTGCCATCCCTTTGATGGGAGGGAGCAAGCTTTGCTTGGGCCCTATAGCTCCAGGATTTGCCAGAACGAGATTCTGTGGGCCTTTTTATGTCCCTTTTTTTTGTTTGGGGGGCGGGGGGAAGGGATCGTCACCCCTAACCAAGCTCCATGCATCTATGGGTTAGGGTACATCCTAATAAAAAGGACAAAGTTCAATGTTTTCTTTTGTGGGAAGGGGGTGAGTGGCAGTATCAACCATTCAATGTTTTCTTATGTGGGAAGGAGGTGAGTGGCAGTATCAACCACCATAAATATCACCTTGTGAGGGTGTAGGGTGATGTTGTACTGTGTCCATATGCCAAAGAATGCAAGGCAAAAGATGCTGGCAATTATCATTGCTAATAAAAAGATGTAAAATAGACAATGATTGACAAGATTAGTAGCCACTTCACCAAGCTAGTCAAAAGGGGCAATGAAGATAAGGATTTTAAGAGCTAACTCAAACCTGTGGGAAGGGCGAGTTTAGACATCACTGCTGGGAGAATGGCAAGGCAGGAGGTATGGAGGGGCGAGGTCCTAGGGGATGACACCAGTGATGCCTGGATGTCCTCAGAGGTTACCTTAAGCCACATTACCAATGACACAGGGGACTGCACTCCTAGTTTGTTTAAAACTGCAAGTTTCATGGACAGGGATGGAGGGCGAGGAGCACACTCTAGGTGTGAGGAGCACATGGTAGATCTCATCAGCCACTTGACCCACAATTTTAGTAAGACAATAAGGAAGTGCTTGATGAAGGCGATTGCGAAAATAATACTGCTGTCCCTTTCAATGGAACCAATATTAATACTAGGCGCCCATTATCTCCAAAATAGCTAGTATAAGGCCTAGAGTGAAGCCCTCAAACACAGATGAGATTAGTTGCCCATGCTTGGATGAGGTGGTAGCTTAGGTGGGGCAGTTCATCAATGAGAACAAGCAAACGTGGCACAAAACACGGGTGTCACGTCAAGTGGAGAGAGGGATATCAAAAGGAGATGGCTAATTTGTGGTATATTTCTCACGAGGGACAATCTTCAATAGTTGCGTTTTTACCACAAGGGCTATAAAGAGTGGGAAGCTATTGTGCACATTACTCAGTGATGTGGTGATAACTGGTCAGGAGTAGTTTAGATTGAACTGACATTGCCAAGAACCATATCGAAGCAAGGAAGAGACAAATGAGGAAGATGTAGCACTTGGTATGGTGTCCTTTTGCAGCCCACTGCATCAACCTGAAGCTAGAAGACATTTGGAAGATTAAGCAGGTGAAAACGTAGTGAAGAAAGCGCAGAAGATCACCATTTCTATACAACCACTTGGCGATCCTAGCTTTGATGAGGCAATTCATAGATGGGAGGGATCTGACTAGGGCAAGCATCATGCAGCTTGCTATGTCGTTCTTATCCATGGATTCCATATCAAGGTTGCAAACAAGACATAAATAGATGGTTGCCTGGGAAAAAATGAATTAAGGACCAATGAAAGGTAAGTTGAAGCGATAGTAATTAGCATGAGGTTTAGGGATAGCTGCGAGCAGATAGTAGTAACTGCAGCATTTATAGAGGTAGTGCTGAAGATGGAGGACAGCGATATGAAGCCTACTATGCATTCTTGTAGGAAGCAATTGATTGAGTAAAGTGGCCATCGAAGCCACATGTTCATTCTACACAAAAATATTGGAGATAGTTGATAGCATATGGAATAACTTCTTGTGCTTGCCAATACAAGCCATAGGTAATGGGAAATGGAGGCGATAATGACGATTATGAGACCATTGATACAAGGGATGGTGACACAAGGGTTCTCGTGATCGAGCATGAGAAGCAAGGTGGGGGCAAACATAAGGGCTAGACTGGTCCTAAGGCCATTGCATTATGAGGCATTACCCAAGTTTGTTCTTTTTTTGGTAATAAGGAATTGCCCAAGATACCCAATGAACAAAGTCATTTTGAAACTGTTACGGAGATAGCCGAACTGTTGATGATCGGGGTTACTTTGAGCCTCACCGTCAATCATATTTGCTTTAAAATGAGTACTTTAAGTAGTTTATTTGTAATTTAGAAATTTGATTGCTCCCATAAAACTCATTATTATCATGTACACTTTTGATTGTTGAATGAATTTTTGGCACTATGTTAGATAAAAGCCCCAGTACGTATAGGTTTTCTATTTTTTCATCAATATACATATCGCACGCGTAGTTTTCTTTGCAGCTAGTGCGCCTAGCAAACTATATCTCGAAAGCAAGAAGACACAGCTAGCCTAGTGCGAAAGTCGTAGAGCTAATGCGCATCCCTTTTCTTGTAAAAGCATTTTTATGATTTTTTCATTCATATATTTTGCATTTTTTTATCGACTTTTTTAGATTTTTTAAATGCTGCTTTTGGCCTAATAGGCCAGTGTTGCTGAGCTTACTCAGCCTGGCCATTGGCTGATTTCGGCTTTAAAAACATTAATGCAATGGTAATTGGCAGCCTGTTTTGTCATCAACTGTTTTGGTAGATGTGCACAGCAACTAATGCCAATTTAATCATTTTTAGATTGTGAAATAATCGACCTGAAAATTCAATTAAGGAAGCAATGAGTTGGGTGTGATTACTAAAACAATAGCTAACAAAACTGATGAACTTGGCCAATTCTAACATTTGAGATAGCCATACCTTCTCATAATGCTCCTCAGATGCAATCCACTAAAGAAAGAAACTAGGAGCGCTTTAAGTTATTATAATTTATACGCAGACATATTGTTACACATAAGCATGCAACAAGAATGGAAGGTTTTGGTGTGGAATGCAAGTTTAGTAATAATAGGAGTAGAGACAAGGAAGTAGTTAAGATTGATGTCCAAGAAATACCAAAAAGACCGTATTTTCGATATCCTCGGTTGATAATCCAAGAAACAGAGGGATTGAGGTGTCTCATATAGAATTAGAACCGGTTGGGCAAAGTAGAGATGTGCAACAAGTGTTTTGTGTGATCGCCGCATACTAATGAAGCTGAAGGGGTAGTTTTGTAAAACAGTTGCGAGGACCAGCTTTGATTTATAGGGCATAATGTTAGGCGGTCAAAAAACAACATACCCATAAGATGAGCGTAGCTAAGATGAGGATGTTGAGAAGAAGGGATAGAATCGAAAATGAATACATTTGAGAGAACTTGGGTGTAGCTCCAGTAGGTGATAAGATGATAGAAAGTAAAATTAGGTAGGCTAGCCATGTGCAGCGCAGACCCAGTATAGCACCTATTAGGAGATACGAGTTGGCTTTTGTTAAAGGCTACAAAATGGCAAGGGGTAGGCCTAAAAGGACATAGTTGGAAGTAGTGAGGAAAGATATGGGGACTTGTCGCCACATTAGGGGTATGGCCCTTGATAGAGCAGAATGGCGAACCAAGATTTTTGTAGCCGACCCCAAATAATTGGGAAAAGGCTCTGATGATGATGATGAGAAAATATATTGATGCAATAACACATGAATATGGATAACTTCCAGAACAAGATTTGTTGAAGTGCTCATAGAAGTCCACTAAACCTTTTTTTTTTTTGATAAGCATGTGCATTGAGCAAACCAGGAAGGTGTGGGATTATAACTGAAACCTGAATAAATAAAGACATGAATGGGACTTTCCAGTAGTCTTCCTGACATGAAAAATTAAGTCCCTCTCCATAGTAAATCTAAAATTCACATAGGATATAGATTCTCAGAAAAGTAACTACTAAAAAAGCATAAAAGTTACCAAGTAGATGTGAGCATTAAAATTAACTAAGCTGCATCTTACCTTCCATCAGGTCCAGCCCCAGCTGCAACTGTGTCGCTCACTGTAAGAATTCCTACCTTCACTGGGGCATCTTGAAACTCAGTTAAACTTTCAGTGCTCATTATGCTGGTTGTACTACAGCCATTTTGACCGAATGACAGAGGCCCCAAACTCTCTGGAACAAAAGGTAGAGGTGTGCTGCATATATCTGAAATTAATATGGCTTGAACAGAACTTTTAGCTGGAAGTACTTTTCCCGAGCATGGCAACTCTAATAATGCATTTGCTGACTTCATGCCTAAGAGACGACTGCTCATTTGATGGCCACTGCTCTGGGCAACAAAACTGTAAGCCACATAATCAATACCATCAAACTCTACTCAGGTTTAGCAGAAGGAAACAATACAGTACCAGTAATTCTGTTGTATGGCTGCATTCAATAAATGGAACAGATTATAAGAAACAAGATCACATGAACAGACCCAATTCTTACCCTGGATTGCCAGATCCATCATTATGCTCCCACGTAATTATGGCACGGTGAAATTCTGGTCGAATAGGATCTGCCTTTATAGCCTCTGCAATACGAACTTGCACCCTGTACATGCTCTGCAGATCAGCTCATTTGCAACCGTTCTTTTATAGCTATAAACACATGTCAATCAGTTAAGCAATAACTCAGTAAATAGCTAGAAGTAAGAGGTGTTTCTGGCAAGCAAGCAATGTGGGCCAAAATGTTTTCTTGTTTTTTTCTTCTTCGTTTTTTTTTTTTGAAATTGTTAGATATTCAAGAGGTTGAACCACCCACAATCTGGGTGTTCATGTACAAAAAACCCTTACGGGGCAAAAAATGCTATACAAGATAAAAGACTGTGAAAAGGAAAACTAAGGTGTGGTCTAGTGCTCAAAAAGGTCCTCAAGAGTCCCCTGTGTTCTGCTGTGAAGTGCCGTCCTTAGCAAGGGCATCGACTCCGGTGTTGGCTTCCCTCCAAGTATTCTGCCAAACCACATGAGTATCCCTGTAGAGGTAGAAAATTTCATCACAGATGTGATCCAATCTCCAAGGACGAGATGATTTAGATGCCCAGGCTATGACATTGTCGGAGTTCCCCTCGATAATCAGACTAGCACCCCAGGATGAGTTGAATTTGCGAAGTCCTACTAGAAGGGCTAGGGCATCAGCAACAGTGCAGTTGGTTTGGCCAATGAATTGGGAGGAGAGGAGGGTGGCACTGTTGGAATCACTGAACATGCTCCCCATTCCAGAGGGGTCTAGGTTGACAATGGAGCAACCATCAAAGTTAGGATTGACTTAGCCTTGCTTAGGTGGTCTCCAGAGTGAGGAACGAGAGATGCGGCTGTTCTGAGATTCGGAAGGTTCCTCCAATTGAGATGGAAATCTGAGAGGGGCCATTGTTGGAAGAATTTGGAGTCCTTGGCCCAGAAGATAACCAAGGATTGGACTTTGTATAAAGGCCACTATGATAGTCTTCTCTCCTCAAAATTTCTGTTGTTGCACTCCAACCAGATGACCCAGACAGTGGCAGAAACTGAGGCCCACCAAAGGAAGATTCTAGATCTGGACCACAGTGGAGAGCAGAAAGCTTGGATAAGTTGGGGGACTGAATTTGGAGTCACCCAAGACCAACCAAAAAGCTGAGCAAGTACCCCCCTATGCTACAGTGGATGAAGAGATGGCCATTGGTCTCTTCCTCCTCCATGCACGTGGTACATCTATTGGGTTACTGTAGACCCCTTCTTTGGAGTTGGTAAACTGTCATGGCTCACTTCATTTGATGTTCCTTAGAGGCTTCAGGACCAAACCAGTAGCCATGTTTTGAACTTCATAGAGACAATGAAGAATAGTTTGCAAAAAAAGGATAATTCCCACTCTTGACGGCAGGAACACCCAAAGTATACAACCCATAAACACAAAATTGATCAGGACATTTCCATAATATGGCAAAAAGAATGAATGAGGAGGAATGGACTCAAGGATAGGTGGTCAAGGTGGTGGGGCGCCACAACATGATGTCTTGAGTTCTATTCCTATAACAGGAAGGGTACTCCTTCCCCACTGAACTACTAGGAAAAAGAAAAAAAAAAAGAAAAAAAAAAGGGAACAAAAACGAACAAGAAATAATTGTGAATTGCACAAAAACAAAACATTCTTATAACGAAATTACAACCCTAAAATGTTGGATAGGCAGATGGAAGCAAAGTCTTTTGTACCATGCAGGACAATACTAAACAATGTACTTGAGAATTTCTCAACCCATCTTAAAACTGATACCCATAGTGGTGGATGTACACTTGACTCCATAACTGGAGTTTCACAAGGCAAATGGTAGTTGTTGTATGTTGATGTTACAAGCTCTACTAGTCAGAAGGGTCTGAAGGTTGGGGCTTCAGCTTTGAGGGCTTCGCATATCCATTATCTTAGTGTCAACCTCTCAGGTTGTCCAGGAGGGCTGACGTTCTGGTTCCAATGATGGTCTAGGAACATAGGAGTATGGACATATCAATCGTGGTTCAGTCATTACGTGCATCAATCGCACTTCAAATCAGGAAAGAAAAAGTGTGAAGGGACTTCCTTGGCCGTTCATAAAAATATATATATGCAGTTAGTGCAACTTATAGAGTGCAAGAAGAGAGGCGAGTAGTAGAATTCTATAAATGTCCTTTTTTCAATTATCATGGATGTGAAGGCAGATTGATACGTGAAAACTATAATATATCAGAGATCGATAAGAAGACCTGAAAACAAAGTAACAGATCCCAATTCAGATGTTAACATAATCAAAGAGATACTATAGCTTTATCCTTATCCTTAGCTGTAAAAGCATTTACCGAAACAGCTAAAAGTCCATTTCATTATTTTCCCAAAGTCCATTAGACAACCCACTTTCTTGTGGCTGTAAAGATCTCCTCTGCATGTCCCCAGAAGCTTCTTGGTTACGAAGATGAGTAGTTCAACTGGAGATGAACCCATACACCCTGCAACTCTAGTCACCTTTGGGTGCCAAGGATCATTGCTATACAATAACTATTTTGTTGCCTTTTGAGAATGTCTATACAATAAATATTAAACTAGTAAATATTTAAACAACTAAGATAGACCTGAAAAATAACCAAATTGTTTTGATGCTCGAGCTCTCTGTCAGCTTTGTTTTAGAATGAAAATGTTCCCCTTTTTTTAAAACCCAAATATTACCTTTGGATGCATGATCTGAAAAATGGGACTCGCTAAAGGAGAGGGGGGGCTCTTCCTTAATAATATTGTTTGAAAGAGTTCCCAAGAAGAGAGAAATATGTTCACAAGAGAAGTGGAACACGTTTCCGCTACCGAACCTCTTGAAAGAGTAAGAACACCACCTTAGTTGGAAGATTTTTATAACAAATCACCCCCCTCCCACCCTTCTCCCCCTCCTCCTCTTAATGACGCATGACTTCATAAAACTATAGATAGAAACATCACTTGACCCACAAATGCAGTGAAGTGATAAATGACAAACTCTGGCAAATAAAGGTAACTGCAATTTTTATCTAATAGAGTTCTGCCCAGTTGGCTGTATCTAATAGAGTTCTGCCGAGTTGGCTATGTAACTAAAACTTTAGATCCAATGGCTCCATCAAAAAGATAAAAGCATGTCTTATCACAAAGGGTCGAACCTAACATATGGAGTTGAGTTCACAAATACATTTGTACCAGTGGCAAACGATTAACTACATGAGGTTGATTTTTTCGATTACTATCAATAAGAATCAATTGCTCTTTGCGCCAAACAGATTTTAAGATGCCTATAATGCCAACCAAAGCAGTCAAAGCAACCCTATCCAACATCCCCATTTTTCAAATGTCTTTGATCCATATGCCGGCCCATGATACTAAAAAAAATGTTGTGAAAGTTCCTTTGATTGCATGGGACAAGGTGTGCAAATCCAAAAAGTCCAACTTAGAAGTCCGAAACAAGCTAACCTAGCCCTCCTTGGGAAGTGGTGGCACAGATTTGCCAGACGAGAAGATTAGTTCTTGAGGGAAGTAATCAAAGAGAAGTATGGCCTGGAGAGGTACTGCTGGTTCCCAAGGTGCCCTACTCAAGCTTCATTATATTCAAAAAGCATCGTCTACACTTGGGAAATCTTCAGGAGACATGTGAGATTTAGTCCTAGGAATGGAGAAAGAGTCCATCGATGGAAAGACTTTTGACTAGGAACTCAAACATTGGCTGAATGGTTGCCTAGTCTTCTAAGTGCCACCAAGGATCGAGACATCAGTATCCCTAGGATGGTGGAAAGCAGAAGGGGTGCCGCAAATATGGACTCCAACAACGACGTGGAAGCAAAGTGCCTGGCCAAAATACTTCTAGAGCTTGTGAATCACTTCCTGTCAGTGAATGGAACAAATTGGACTATTTGGGCCCCCTCAACCTCATCACTTCACGGCATCTTCTTTCTTCAAAGTTCTCTCCTCTGAAACCACTAGGCCCAAAGTCTCTAGCCAAGTGCGCGCCGTATAGGTGCCACCTACGGTTCAAGCCTTTTATTGGATCGCGCTGTTGGGTAAAACCCTCACAGCTAACCAACTTTAACAAAGAGGTATCCAGCTTGCAAACAGACGTGTCATGTGCTTGCTAGAAGAAGAAAATTTGGACCCCTTTTTTGGCATTCTATAGTGACCTCTAGTCTATGGTCCAAACTCCTTCAGGAATTTGATAGGCAATGGACCTTCCCCTAGTCCATCATCCAGCTAATCTAAGCCATCCTATCCCCTCCTTACCCCAAGGTTGGCACTTTACTGTGGAGGGCCTTGGTGTTAGCTACCATATAATCTAGTGGACCACATCAAGTCAGAAACTATTTTCTGGGCTAAAAGTAATAGGGTACTCCGTACTCTAGTATATCCCTCCCCCAACCTTCCTTAGCGGCTGGAAGAATATCCTATTCCTCACATTTCCTAGGCAAACCATTGCTTCCCCATGGACACCACAACCACCCAAACCCCCCCCCTCCTCCCCCCCCCCCCAACCAAACAAAATAAAAAAAGGACACTTAGATGGTTTCTCTTTGGGCAACTCGGAGCCCACTGGTATAGGTGATATATGGAGGGACCAATCTGGATAAACACTTCTCACATTCTCACCACTTAAACCACTTATAGACTCATGAACTCTACAACAGCCGAATCGAGCAATCACAGAAGGTCTCCAAAGAGTTTCACATAGCCCTTTCCAGTACCATGGAGATCGTTGTAGAAGGGGACAACAACAATGTCATTGCATGGGCGTCAAGGCAGTGTGTCCCTGGCATCTATTCCCTAATTTTGACTGTATAAACCATCTCTACAGGGAACTAAGTGTGATGTTCTGCCACATTTGTAGAGAGGCAACCAGTCAGCAGATGCATTGGCACAAAAAAGGGCTGTTAGGGGCCTAAATGGATCACATCAAGTCGGCTAAAACCACTCTCTCTACACCCCTTTCTCAACCTCTTTTCCTATCTGTCTTTCTATCTCTGCCTCTTTCCCAACCTCCTCCCCTCTTCACTTATCCTCTCTCTCTCTCTCTCTACCCTCCATCACAAAGGGTAGAGCAACTGTCGATGTAGTTTGCGTGAAAAAGGATTCCTCTCTCTCACTAACAATCTCACTCTTTCTCCATCTCTATCTCTGTTAACCTCCTCCCTCCCCTATTTCTTATTTTTCTTCAATCTAAAAAAGCATAAGGAATTCTTGCTACATTTTTGTAGAGCACCAGGCTTTGAGCTTCCACTGCCCACATCTCATGGGCTTTTTGTAATACTCCCTTTATATGAAATATGTTGCTTCCACTTATCAAAAATAAAAATATTTTACGACAGTTATTATTATAAAGAAACAAACATGGAGGAGGTTTACATGGCTCCCCTATCGGGCCTTTTGAGAGGTAAGATGTGTTGGCTTAAGCGGGAGAATAATAGGTATACAAGATCCCAAGGGTCATACTAAAATAAGAAGCAATTTGTGGCAGTAAGATCGAGCGGAAATGATGAGTAAAGGAAAATGGCTAACATCAGACTGAACTAATTTGATTGAAGCCATTTATGACATTAGTAAAGTTCAGGGAAATGGACCACCCCAGTTATGAACCAATCCAAGATGCAAGTAAAAATTTGAGTTCAAAATTATATGGACATCAGCCGCGATAACCAGGTCTCCATTCATAAAGCCTCCAATCCAATTATAGAAAGAAGCTAATTAAGTATATAATCTGTATGTGAAGTTTAAGGACATACCACACTATATATTAGGCAAGCTAGGCACGGTTGATACCTATTATTGATCTTGAGGGGTAGGATTGTAACTCATATTATAAGGATATTTTAGCATATCATAACTTTTAAGTGCATACATATTGATGAATATTAGTCCACAGCCCATCCAGCGCTTTTCTTTTACTTTTTTTTGGTGTGGGTTGGGGGGGGGGAGGAGATGGTGGAAGAGGGACCATGATTAGATACAAAAAATAGTAGAAGATAAAGGATAGGAAAGAGAGAATCTCAGTGACCAATCTTTCTTATTCATGGATTTCTACAGATTGGACTTTTGACAAAGAGGCTATGTCATTACTATTTTATTTTATTTTTCTTTATTTGGCAGTAGAGATATAGGAAGAGGTAAAGATGGGAAAGAGATTATATAGGGGAGAGAGAGAGAGAATCAAAGGCTCCAATTAAATAGATGCATAAATAATTGAAGGATTGTGGTTCTCTGGTAATGGACGAACATACATTTTAACAGAATTAGAAAGTAGTGTATTTGTGTGTATTTTGTGTATATGGAGATAACATGCCAAAGAAAGATATTGCTTGTTCAACGAAAAGTTCACATGCTGATGAAAGAATATTGCATGTACAAATTAAGACCTTTGGAGCTTAGGGTTCTCCCAGCCAGAAAGGCAACGAATGGCAGGAACAGCCACAAGATGGAAACCTACTATGCAGCTCACAGGATTTCCAGGCAACCCAAAGGCAAGTATCTTCTTATTTGGCTTGCCCTCCATAGAATTAGTGCTAATTACTGCAAAGGTTAGTGGCTTTCCAGGCTTCATCAAGACCTGAAAGGCACAAAAAAAGTGAAAGAAATGGATTAAAAAAAAATGCACAAGATACAAGATAATTCTAACTATCAAGAGTCAAGTGAAGGAAAGCTTCTAATTGCAAACGTATAATTCAAAACCATATGTGAGGAGTTTAACTAGGCAATAATATTACATTGCATTTTTTAAAACTATTAATGATACATATCAAAACAAAAATGATAAGAAACACAACCATGGTCACTGGGTTTTATGCAGGCCGACTTAGGGCACCAAATTTCAGGACCAACGTTCAAAGCTTCAAAGGCCTTTTTTCCCTCATTAGCTGGGCAAATCTGCTCTGCAATTTTAATGTCGTAGAGGTTACAATTCCATTTCCATAATGGGGTCGAGTAGTGATTTCGATATCAGAGCAAAAAATTATGCCTACATGAAGTTAGGGTATCATTTCATGGTTTGAGCTATTTTATTCAGCAAAAGTGTTCGGAATAAATCTTAATCGGAAGTTTTAGGGTTGCATTATCTGAGCGAGGTTATGTCGTTCATGACAGTGATGGGTCCAATGTAGAGAAATGTGAACCCATTCCATAACCAATGGAGAGAGATCTCCCGTTAGATGATCACTTGGTTGGTACTCTAGAAGGGTCAGAACGAGGAATTCAGGTAAATGTGCCTGAAGTTTCAGGTATTACAACTCATGATTTCTTGGATTGGATTGCCAGAGGTGAAACTTCTTTGAGTTAAAAGAATTATCAGAGGAGAAAAGGTAAAATTCATGACTACTCAAATTGAAGGCCATGCCTTAAATCGGCGGTAGCAGTAGTAGGCAGGTTGAGTTTGAAACTGGAAAGACAAAATTGCAACTTGGAAGAAGATAAAGTTGTGTTTGAAATACAAATTTGTTCCATCCAACTATGCACAAGATCTATTCCAGGGATATCACCACCTGTGACAAAAAGAGTTGAGTATGCAAAAATAAATAGACGATTCTATCATTTGATAAGCCGAAACGAGTTCAACGAGAGTGATGATCAGCTTGTTGCAAGATGAAATTAATATAATATATTTATATAATATAATAAAATAAAATATATATTATATAATAAATATTTACAATACAATATATATTATATAATATTTACATTTAATATATAATTTTTTAATAATATTTAAATATTATTTAAATAAATATAACTATACATTTTTAGTCATAATATTAAATAATGCATATATATATTTATATAACATATTTACAAAATATATTTAAATACTGAATAAGTTACCTAACAAATGAAATTCATTGCATAGTGCATTTTAAACATGTTAACCATAGTTAAGGGAACCTTGAGGGTAGGGTGACGATCCTACTCCGGAGCCTCGATCCCACGGTTCCTGCAAGGTATCTTGTAGGGACCCCGGTTTTTCGATTTTGAGATCTCCCTCCCAAAAAATGGGGACCACGTTCCATCCATAAGTAAAATCCAATTCTATTTCAAAATAGATCCCCGCTCCCATCAACCATGGTCCAAGGTTTTGGTACATTAAAATCTTAGGTTTCATATTTGTGGGATCTAATTTCATTAACGAATGATACTAGGTTAGAGATTGTCATTGTCTCAAGTTCCCATTATTTAGGAATCATAAGTTCCTTATTGTAAAATCCAATCCCTTTTTCGCATAGCATAAAATTTCATTATTTTAGATTCTTTTTTTTTGAGAGAAAGTTAACATTGTGTTCCTGGGGAGAGATGATTATATGGATGTGAGAGTTCGAAGTCACCCATACGAGGTCCATTATTTTAGATTCTTAATTTGAACTAGGCATAGTCTAGAGTGACCTTTTGTTTTATTAAGTCTTATTGTGTAAGACATCCCTCTTAGTTGTGAGAATATATATTTCATTTAAAATCTTATATTTATGATGTCATGTTGTTTTAGATTTTTAAAGCACAATGTTGAATCCTCTTAGTTGTGAGATGAGAATATATGTGTTCATTTCAAGCTTTAAAAAGCTTCTTTTACATTTACGAGAGAGAAAGAGAGTGAGAGTAGTTCATCTTGTCCTCTTGCCCCTTCGGAGAGCCAGCCTTTGAGAAACAATAGAAGCAGAGGAGACTACATTCGAAGAAGATGACCCTTGAGTGGTAGGATTCTAGGTTACTGGGGACTCCGAGGGAATGGTGCATGCCGAATTTGTATCAGGGCCTGAATTTGTAGTGGGAGGGACATGCCTTGATAATGGAGTTCTCTGACGAGCCTCATCATCAGCATCAAGGCAGTTGCCTAATGCTTCTAATGCCCCAACATTATCCTCGAGGTGGTCATCATCAGGATGAAAATCCCATCCTTTGTACTTCTCTGCATAGTCTCATCGTAATCTACTTAACAACTTGTCATTGTAGTGAACATAAATCAATGACTCAGAGTGTTGAGCATTTAACTTGTTCCGCTTAACACTGTGAATATAACAATACATACTCTAGCACCTCTCAGCACATGACGAGTTGACACTTTGAGACAACACCTTAATAGCCAGTGAATATAATTTAAGAACCCCACCATCGTATAGATCCCACCACGAAACAACTGACATTGTACCTCTGTAGGAAATGAATGCCGGAAGTAAGACTCCTTTACTACTTACAAAATCATTGATATGTTGTCGTATTCTACCCCTCTCATTCTTGTTTAGGTACAACCTCTCAAGGGCAGCAAGATAAGCCTCTTCTCCCCACCAGGACTTGGCATAGTTAACCATTGTCGAGAGTGATACTTAGGACTTCAAACATATGCCAAACATAGTTAAGAATCTCGATATTAGAACAAGAGGAACCCCGTTATATGGCATACTTAAACCTTGACTCCCTAACCAAGGGAACTCGTACTAGTTCTACTTGACTAGCATATTTTTATGTATAGTGGAGTTTAGATTCCCGTAATCAAAACATTGAACTCATTGACATGGGATATCGCTCCCATAAACCTAAGGATCTCATTCCTTGTCTTGTTCATTGTACGGACGTCGATCATAACCACAGGGAGCTTCCACTTTAGGGCGGTTTGGTGTATCCCGAACCAATCCCGCTCCCGATCTCGCTCATGTCTCCAACAACTATGGTGTTAACAAGCATGGAGAAAAGAAAGTTTGCAAAAGTTTTTCCTGCAAAGCGTTTACATATGTAAATATTTTTCCTGTTACGCACCAACCAAACGTGCCCTTAGTGATAAGTTGAACATGTCAAAGTTATGGAGGGAAAAATTATTTTTATTTTTTATTTTTATTCAATTTTAAAAGTTTTAGGGTTTATTTTTGGAGTTTTTAAGTTTTTTTGAGATTCTAGGGTTTTTTATATTTTCTTTATTTACTATTCATAAGTGCTATTCATGGGTACTGTTCACGCGTTATTGTTCACGAGTACTTATGCATTATTGTGCATAGGGATATTTTTGGAATTATAATATTGTTTAGTGCTATTTTAGAGTCTTAATTGCTTACTTCAGTTTCAAGTTAATTTAGGGCTTCATAGGCTTATAAAAGATTGGATGCCATATTTGGGAGATATATGTTATTGGAATAAATTTTATTTTATGAAAAAAGAAAGTTTTTCTTCTCATGGCTTGATTTACAACAATGTTCTTTCTCCAATATTGCTGATTTTACTTGTTTAAGGTTCAGAAAAGGGTGGATTTAATTGTCCACCCTACTTCTTGCATCACAAAGGCTGGGTATTCTACATATCATGTGGAGTTTTATGCTATTATGCAAGCACTCTGACGAAATTAATAGGTGTCCAAGACTAGGTAGTGGAATTTAAAGAATGAAAAAATAGGATTATTTGGGGATAAATTAGTTAAAGAAGAAAAATGAAACTCTGAACATGAGGACAATGTTATGTGAAATGAGATGACTGACTATATTAAGAACAATGTTTAAAATGCGGCCGCATCGCCACATACACAGCCGCATCAGGCGCTACGCGCTGGCCAACACATCCCACATGCCTTCATATGAGGTTTGGAGAGATGCGCCCACATATGCGCTGCACTCTCCGCATCAGAGCTGTGCATCCCGCATTGAGCGCATCAGGCTGCATGATTTGTCTGCCATTTTTTTAGAAACTGAACCCCTCAACAGGGGTAATAAGGTCATTTTGACCTTCGAAAATGGAGGAAAAGGGTTTGGGGGGGTATTAAATCCCCCAAACATCATTTTTCAGCCACATCCTTGGCTTTATTTGGATCGATTGAATCAAAAAATAAATTTTGGGTGGGAATTTTATTTGTTGAAGTTCTTCGATTTGTGTATTTGTTGATTTTTGGTTGTTGATTTGAATCTTTTGGGTGTTGATTTGAGTAATGATGGTTGTATTAACTCTTCTTGAGCTTGACTTTTTAAACTCTTTAATCTTCATGGACTTTTAGCTTGTAGTATTTTGCCATCTCAACAAAAGTATGCCTTAGATTATTACATAAAATTAATATGATGAATTATAAGCTTTCAGGAACACATGTTGCCATGGATAAAAGACAAAGCATGAAAGAAGACAACTTGTTACGAGAACCACAGAAGTACAAGAGTACTTCATGACTAGATATTTCATTTGCAGCGAAACAGGTCTATCAATTTATGCATATACCCACATCATCTCATATAGAAGCCTTAAAAAGATTAATCAAATACACAAAAGGAACAATCACCCATGGCATAGTCTGTCATAAATATGATGCGTAGAATCTGCAAATTGAATTGGTAAAGGGGTATTAAGATGTTGATTGGGCTAGTGACCCAGATTCAAGTACGTCAGTTTCCGTATTGTATTTACCTTGGGAAAACTTCATATCATGGAAAAGTAAGAAAAGGAAGACAACAGTAAGGTCAAGTACTGAAGCTGAATATCTAGCTTTAGGAAGTATTATATTAGAGCTATTAAGGATCTAAAGTCTTATGACCACATTGGCCATGAAAATTCAAAGATCCACAGTGTTATTTATATGATAACAAGAGTGTCTTAGCCTTGGAAGCAAATCCAGTATTTCATGATAGATCTAAACATATTCAGATTGAATACCATTTCATGCAGGGAAGGAATGAAGCTGAAGAAATTGAACAAGGTCCGTGGGAACAGAAGATCAAACAACAGACATTTACAAAAGGGTTAACAAGGGAACAACATCATTATTTTAAGGATAAGTTGTATAATTAAACATGACGTACAACTTGAGGGGCAAGTGTTAGTCATAATTGGTCAGGGGTATATATGGTGCTGTAACTTATTCTTGTAATTGTAATTCAATATTTAAACGTGATGTACAACTTGAGGGGGAAGTGTTAGTCATAATTGGTCAGGGGTATATTGGTCATTTTATATGCTGCTCTAACTTATTATTGTAATTGTAGCTCATGTTCACTGCAAATGCACAAATATGTAATTTTCAGATTTATTTATACCCTTATCTAGTCCTTAATTAATTATGGTAGAAACAATATAATTATATATCTTTGAGTGCAGCCCCTCACACATGAATGAATTAGGGGTCACATCATTCTTCTATGACTTCCTCTCCATCCATATCTACCTGAACCAAAACTTGGTCTTCTCTCTCTCAAGTATTCAAGGTGACATTTTAACAATAATTACATTGGATTTAGGGCTAGGGCATCCAAATAAAGCCTATAAATAGGGGTTGATTCTTCTTTAAGAACATTATTCTTTGAGAATTCTAGTGAATTCTCAAGAATTCTCAGACCCATTGAAGCTATGCTTCCTAGCTTCCATTATATTTTTCAATCAAACTATTGGAGTAGTACTTTTTAGTCTTTCCTTTTGTTTGTTCAGAATCAGCATTGGAAGCTTTGACACCTTCCACACCAAATGAACTAGTCTAACACTTACCTACACAGACATATGAAGGATCGGGTTTACATGCAAAGTAAGATGAAAAGCTATCATTAGTAATGCCTTGTCAGTGCTTAGTGTCTATATCCCCTTATAAAAATTATCGTTGTAAGAAAACAAGCAAATTACAGATTCCCAAAAAAATGCATAGGACTATGCATCTGATATGCTAGATGGGCTTTAGAAGTTTTTTGGAGCTTACATGCTACATAGACATCAGAATTTAATATTCGTTACTACCTTACCTATTCAAATAATTTAGTGAAGTATAGTTATTTTGTATAATTGATCTCATGAACATATTTACAATGTCTCCAAAAGGACTTTAAAATATTCTTGTACGGATTTTACAGTGTGCACCTTTAAGCCTGACTGCCCACGTAGCTACTTTTTGCAGTTCAAAATGAGGTCAATAAAGATCAAATGTGATTCGAGGGAAATTCGGAAACAGCCACCCATCATGAGGATGGTTGCATTCTCCTATCTTTTCTTTTCCTTTTCCTTTTTTTTAAAAAATGTCAACCTTGCAGATTAGCCATAAAAACTTCTGATAATCTCGAATGGACAATATTTGAGTAGACAATAGGATCTTGACTGAAAACTCAATAATGTAGTGAGCTAATGGCAATGCTACTCTCATTTATGGTAACATCAAACAGAACATGGACACAAACTTGTGAGCGATAAGATATGTTGGCACATGAAACAGTCTCTTGATATTCAAATTGCCGTAGTTCTACATCTTTCAAAAAAAAACAACAGAACCATAGCATGCAAAAGATACGCATCATGAAGTAATAATCATTGCTCCCTAATCTAAGGCATCAAGCAGTGTTTCAAAAAGCTCTAGGTGACACCTAGGCGGTCGGGGGGGTCCAAGCCACCTAGAACCTGGGCAGCCCAGTAGAAATTTTTCTTTTTTAGGGTTTTCTTTCTCTAAAATAGCCTCTAATGGGTTTTAGGTTTCAAATGAATCTAAAACCCACAATTTTTCCCCTTTAGTATTAAAATAATGACCCAAAAATACCTTCAAAGAGCCCCATTTCTGCCCCTAGGCGGGGTGCATGCCCTAGGCGGGCGGCCGCCTAGGCATGTTCAAGTGGGCGCCTAGGCAGGTTCCCGAGCGCCTAGGCGGGCGCCCAAGGATATCTGCCTAATTTGGCTGCCTAGGCCTGGGCAATACGCCCAGGCCTTCTGGACCGCCCAGGTGGCTGCCCAAGAGCTGGGCGGTCCGCTTTTTAAAACATTGGCATACGGTGACCAAGAGATGTTGGCACATGAAGCAGTCTCTTGATATTCAAATTGCTGTAGCTCTTCATCTTTCAATAAAAAACGACAGAACCATAGCATGCAAAAGATAGGCCATGAAGTAATAATCATTGCTCCCTAATCTAGGGCATCCAGTGACAAAATTAATGATGAACTGGATTAGTATCATTTGTATTCTTACAACTAATCAATAGAACAAATGAGACAAAATATTCAGGCTGATAAAAGAAGTGTTTTCATGAATGCAAACAGGCTAAGCATGTATATCATTGAGAACTAAGAGATAAATATGTAAGAAGTTCAGTCAACTCAAGTCACTCGAGTCAAGTCAGATCAAAGAAGTCCTACCTTTTGATTCTGTTGTTAGTGACTTATGAAACAGGACATGTAAGTTACAGTTCAAATAGCTCGAACTTCTTTTTATTTCTTTAGAAGTTGCCTGATATTTTCTGATCCAGGTAACTTCATTCCCACACATACTTCTTTTAATTTTTGGATGAACCAAAACACCAAGGATATGCATGTTAAAACCAATAAAATGGTCTTTCAGTTACCTTGTTGAAATATATGGTTCCCCGCTTTTCTAACAAAGGCTTGACAAGATCTCTGTCTCCCATGGAAACACCTCCAGAAGATAGAAGAATATCTGCCCCAGCAGAGATAGCTTCATCAAGAGTCTTCTCAAGATGTTCAGCATCATCACCAGCAATGCCCAAATCCAATATTTTACAGTTCTGCTGAGAAGCAGCAGCAAGTAGCATGGCACGGTTGGAATCTCTAATCTGAAAAGGAAAATGAAATTCCATCTCAAATGGTACATCAAAACATTTTCACTTTGAGACATAGTGGACATAATTTTGGTCGAAATTTGGTATTACTGATTAGTTCAAAGAAATCCAAGTGACATTGCATTAGTGGATGTTATCAAGCTAAACTATTACCTGGCCACGGCCAAGAACGCGAGTTGCTGGCTCCACAAGCTCATCTCCTGTAGACAAGACTGCTACAGTTGGCCTCGGATAAACCTGAAAATATTTTTCATTAATGAGAAACTTTTTCATAAGAGATAGCAACTAACAAAGTAGATTACCTTTACCATCACCATCCCCATCGAGGCAAGTAGACCAATCTTTGCGGTACCTATATGCTCGCCCCTCCTTAATATAGTTGCACCTTTCTCAATGTCACACCCCTGATCAGTTAATAACAGGTACTTTTCTCAGCTTCTATATCCAAGCAGAAATAAAAATGCCAAGGATTTTACAGTGTAATTTTAGTTTAATCACCAGGCTGAAATAAGGTTATGAGAGACCTAGCTTTTACATCCCTTGGGTATCATAAAACCCTTGAGAAACACATAATAAAAGCTGAAGATATATTTTAGGAAACAGTTTTTGAGAACTCCCAAAGCCCAGGATTCCATTTTATCCTTAAAATTCAAGTTTATTTTTAGAATTTATAAAATATCTCAGCAAACCTAAGCGCAAATGCAAACCCATCCAGGTTCATATTTTTGCAGATCGATGTAGTCCTCCTAACATTTCAACTCACTTTCTATGGAAGTAAAGTTGTAGACTGAAAATAGCCATTATTTTCTCCCAAATCACTCCAGGACACCAATATTGGGACAATTCAGGCCAGATATAACAAGCTCCTTACCAAACTAAAGTTCCAAGTTCATACTCTGATAAGAATTTGAACAAGAAGATAATGGCTTGAACGAATATCCAAAGAATAAGCATGGGAAATATATATGTTCAATTGATCAGGTCAAGAAAGTAAAGAACATTACAAACAGGAAAAAACATATATTAACGAAATTTCAGAAATCGTCCACGAGAAAAGGAGCAGACTGATTCCATAGCAATGGCCTAGGTCAATTCGACCTTTTTCACCAAGATGAGTTAAATAACGTGCCACATCTTAACCTTCTGAACAAGGAGAACCATGTATACTAGAGTCTATACAACCAAGACTAAGTCCAAATGAACCATAAGTGGCGCAGACCAAGTGGCGTAGACCTAGTAGCTTGAGCTAGGGTTTTAACAAAGAAAGAGATAAGGACGATCCAGAAATAGTTCATCATCATCATCATCATTATAGCCTTTTCCCAATTAATTGGGGTCGGCTACACGAATCTTAGTCCGCCACTCTACTCTATTAAAGATCCAGAAATAGATAAAGATTAAAAACCCAGAGATAAAAGGAGCACTTGCTGCTCTAGGGTTTCTGAATAAAAGTCCATAACCTGATCCACCATTATGATTGAGTGCATCCTTTATATAAGAAAACCCTAAACAAGACTTAATCATGGCCATTCATCTACTCTAATCATGATCATTTAGTATAAAAGACTTTAAGTGAATAAAAAGACATAAAAGACTCTAGAAATGACTACTTATGCCCTAAGTAAATAAAAAGATTCAAGAAATAAATAAAAATTGGGCTCAATGCTTAATTTGCCCATTTCTAACTTACAGCTTATCTCTCTTGTCTAGCTACTCGTGAGCAGTATTCTGGGCTGCATCAATCCCCCCTTCCTCAAAAGAATTCGCCCCTCGAATTTGGCGGCTCATCATCGAAGGTATCACCACAATATGGAATGAAATACTTGACATTAAAAACATCGGAAGTGTGAATATGGCTTGATAGCTTTAACTGATAGGTATTGTCATTGATCTTCATCAAATTTTTGAACGGCCCTACCTTGACAAGGCTTGAGATCTTGACATGCCATTTTACTGTAGTCCCCATAGACATTGGATATTTGGATTAACTACATTTTGGACCCATGGAGAATTGCCGTACTTGTTGTACTTAAGCACAACACATTGGGTCCCAAACATATCAGAGAATACTCTACCATGAATTTTGAAGCGGCCCAAGATTAATGATGCACAACCCCCGTCATTTCCTTCAATTTGCATATAGTGATTAGATATAGAGGTTCTCCAATCAAAACAAAATACTGGTTGAACATCATGAATCATATAAGCAACCCAACCATTCAATGGCCAGCTTCTATATTGAATTCACTAGCAAAAATTTCATAAGAAACTATTCGCAAACCCTTGGGGCGCACCTCACATGGTGATCCATATTCAGGCATGACATCAAGAAAACCAACATCCTTATTGCCACCGTCATCCGCTTGATCCTCCCTTTTTTTGCATTGTTGTTCTCCATAGAGAATATCACCCATCAAGTCATCATTAAAGATGGGATCACTATCAAAGACATGATCACCATCTCCATCAAAAGGTTCCTTGCAAAAGATTGGATCACCATTAACGCTATGATCACACACTTCTTTCCCAACACCCAAATCTTCATCCAAATACTTGTCAAAGACTAGCAGTGAGTCCCAACCAATAACAAGCTGATCTTGAGAACCATTTGATAAGAAAAACGTTTCTCCATGGTTTTCCTCTGCGGGATCTCAACCTTGAGACCGGTTTCCCACCTCCTACTATCCCTATCTATACGATGCACTACCTCTCTCCTTGGAGCTTAATCATGGAAGGGATTTATAGATTCATTTACTCAATCTCATACTCCTGAGATGGGGCTTCCATCAGCGCCAAACACATAGATGGGGTTTCGACCAATCTCCCTAGATCTGCAATCTCTTCTCACGAACTAGCAACAAAGCCTTCTATGGTTGTCGCTTTTCCTCTGCGTGGAGGCATGGTTGTTGATCTAGGGCACAAAAGCACAAAAATCGGCACTACAATACCATGCTACAATAACCTGATACAATACCTTCTTTACTGATCATCAGACTCTGGTACCAACTTGGCACAAACCTAGTAGCTTGAGCTACAGTTTTAGCAAAGAAGAAGATAACGAATATCCAAAATTAGAGAAAGATTCAGAAACCAGAGGTAAAAGGAGCACTTGTTGCTCTATGGTTTTGAATAAAAGTCCATAGCATAACTCATCATTATGCTTGAGTACATCCTTTATATAAGAAAATACTAAAAGCCTTAATCCATATACTCTAAGCATGGCCTTTTATTATAAAAGACTTTCAGTGAATAAAAAGACATAAAAGTCTTTAGAAATTACTACTTATGTCCTTAAGTAAATAAAAAGAATCAAGAAATAAATAAAAGACATAAAATGATAGACTCAATTACTAATTTGCCCTTTTGCGGTTCCTCCTGTAAACTTTAAGCTTATCTCTCTTGTCTAGATACTCGAGAGCAGTATTCTGGATAGCATCAATAAGGGTAGTCCCAACCACTTTAAGCTCATTGATTTAGCAAGAGTGATCTTTGTGGAATCAAATAACGGACCTTAAAAAAATAGGCTATCCCAATTTCCAAAATAGAAGACATCTCCAACATGTTATTGAGGAGCCAAACAAAGTACATAGAGTTCGAACTTTGGAGTTATTGAATGTGGGACAGTCATCCATAAGACAAATCCGGAACTAAGAAGCAATCGAAATAGTCAATAGCTAGTTCTAAAACTTCCAATAGATCATACAGTACAAAGTGCAATCCAAGCATACACAAGTAAAAGAAAGTAAAAAATCTTGTAAGCCATGTTTGCCATAGCATAAGCTATATGTCATAGTTAAAAGCAGATGGCAGATAGGCAATTTAGCATAGCCAAACCCTAAATCTCGAGGATATATAAATGTCTCCAACGCAAACACATGGATGCAAACATGCTTCCTTTAATAGTTGGTAGGTCCTACATATGATAAATCGGTTCCTTTACAGAGAATTCAACACTTGCACTATTGGATGAATATGTTGAGTCAAGGTTGGAAAATTCGCCTGCTCGAGCTGCCAGAGGCCTTGGGCGCATCGCCCAGGCCTAGTCGGGCAGGAAGGGGCCATGTCACTATTCAGGCAGCTAGGCAACCGCCTAGGCGGCCCACAAAAATTTCGAGAGAGGCACAAAAAAATTCCCCTTGAATAGGGGCATTTTTGGTCTCTCTATCCCTCGAAGCCTTGTGCTAAGTCCACGGAGGTTGTTTAACCGCCCAAAACCCTTGGAGTACCAACTTCAACCAAAAACACGCTCAAATCCAGATTTCTTATGAGAAATCCAAGATCGAACAAAAATCTAAAATTTTCAATTTCTTGCGAAATCGAAAGGCATTTGCACCTAATCTTTTGAGGGCCTGAAGCGGTTATCAAAAGAGGTCATTGGCAACCAAAGCCCACCTTTTAGCTCGAAGGATTCTGTTTTAGAGGTTAGAGATTTTCAAGTTTTGGATTAGGGTTTTATGAGCAATTATATATTACTCATAAGATATTTTTGCATATTATGTTTTTCTTCTTTTTTGTTTGAGGTATTTGTGATTTATTTCATCTTTAGAATGTGGATTAGTGTGGTTTTGATGTGCTTTAACTTTGTTTACAAATTTGGATTACGATTTGAAACCCAAAGTTCAATAAACGTAACCCAAATCAAACCTGATTCTCTCTTTACCTTTTCTGTTCATTATATTTGTGTTGTGATTTTTTTAACTTTAGTATATGGATTTGTATGGCATATGGAAGGGGCCTTGATATAGCTAGCAATGAGGATTGGTGAAACAGTTTTCTTTATGAGTTCATCATGCTTGTTTGAAACATTTTATGCTTTTTGTAAAAAGACTTGACACTTTAATATTTTCATCATTTTATGAGTTGTGGTGATTTCTATATATGATTTTCTTTAGTGTTTGACTATTTAATACAATCTATGATTTACGAATGCATGGGTTTACTGTTTGGTTTCTTTTTTTCTTTTTTTTTTTGAAATTAGGTATTTTAACTCATATACAAGGGTGTTTGGTATTTAACCTAACCATAGTTGTTGGAAACGCCTGCGAACCTGAATCGTTAGAGGAACCGGAATCGCGGCCTGCTAGAAGATTCCTATCTTAGGAATCGTTGTCCGTACAATAGGAATGGCTAGGAACGAGATTCCTAGTTTTTGAGAATCGTGTTTCGACCAAAATAGATTCAAGTTTCATCCACCTATGGAATCGAGATTCTGTCCTCCTTGAAATCGGGATTTCCAACCCCCTAGAATCGACACTCCAAGAGTCAAGATTCTTTAATATGCAGAATCGAGTTTCGACATCTATGGAATCGAGTTTCTGACATATGTGGAACATAGATATGTTGTTATTTCAAATCGTGATTCCAACATATTTGGACTCAAGTTTTTAAAGTATATAAATCAGAGATCCATACCAGTTTGAGATCGAGATTTACAATAATATGGACTATGGAATATGTTTGACGACCCCTAGCAGGAATCAAGATTTTATTTTTATGGAAAACGAAGCCACGAGCACATCTTGAGCCTCATCAATTTTAGAACCTATATTGGATGTCTCTCATTAGAAGGCTTCCCAAATTTTATAGTGATTGTGTTGACTATTGAACTTATGGTCATTATATACAAAAGACAAGTATTCCTAAATTGTGATTTTGAATTCATTATTATAAAGACAAAATAGGATTATGTCTACACCATGCTTTTACTTTTAATTGTATGCGTTGTATTTATCAATTATATTTTAAATTTAAAGTAAAGGCCATCCAAGGTGGCACAAGTAAAATAATGAAACCCAGCAACCACAAGACGCATTCGAAGGAAGATTTCTACTCCAATTGACATGGAAACAAGATTTAATCCTCCCTAGAATCCAAATTCGATATATTTGGAAGCATCTACCTGCAATTAATGGGCTCAAGTTTTCAACGATGTGTTGGATAGAGATTCTGAAATTAAGGAATCGAGTTTCCTTGGTTCCGATAAATGGTTTCTAAAGATGTGTTGAATCAAGATTCCGAAATTAAGGAATCAAGTTTCCTTGGTTCCGAAAACAAGTTTCTAAAGATGTGTTGAATCGAGATTCCGAAATTAAGGAATCAAGTTTCCTTTGTTCCGAAAAACGGTTTCCGTGGAGATTCCTTAACGGAAATGCGGAATCGGGTTTCGGAACCGGAAACGCGAGGTCGGTAGAGAGATTCTGGTAACTATGAACCAAACCCTTAAAAAGAAAGAAAAAGACATTTGGGCCCCAGATTAGGCGGGCCCTCATAACCTAGGCACTGCCTAGCGAGTTTTCCAACCTTTTGTTGAGTACCACACTCTAGGCACATGTTACAAAAACCCACACTTAAATGAATATGTTGAGACAGAGAAGGAGCATGTGAAGAGATAATTTCCCATCAGGAATCACCTAAAGACCATGACATCCTTCCCACAACTGAGCCCACATGGCATCCATGTTAAGAAATCAGGGTTGACTCAACTTAATCAATTCGGTTCATTGATGTTCCAACATCAAATGTAGGACTCTTAGACTTTCTGGACCAAAGCTTGAGAAAACCAGATTTAATTCACTGTATTCTTTGAGTATTTCAGGAGGTTGTCAATACTTCTACAATCAGGGCCACCATTTCGCCTGCATATGATTTTCCTTTTTAGGTGGACCTAAGACTTGAAGAAGTGAATCCCAAGCGACACAAACCGAAACCCAAGGAAAGATAAGGTGCATTTGGACCCTCTTCAGCTCCTATACCTTCCGAGATGGATTCCCATAACCCAAATACCTCGACTTTTGCAAACTGATACATTCTGTCCTAGCTTTCGAGAAACATCATCTACGATTTTGTGGATGGGATTGCCCCGAAACTTCAGGCGAATGATTACCATTACTCCAAAGTTTTTCACATAATCATTTTGTGACATGGGACCCAAGAAAATAGACATTTCAGATTAGGGTGATAGAGAATTATGATAATTATCAGCACATACTTGTTAAACTGGATGTAATATATGCAGTAAGTACCTAAAATTTCAACCAATAGTACTGCCTCAACAAAGAAAAATTCAGCAAATAGAACTGTCAATTCCTTCCACTTATTCTGAAGATTTCTGTAACATGGTGGTTATTGCAAGTTCAACAACAATCTGAACTTTATCAGAATAGAATCAAATTTCCATATAAAGAACTAGAAGGACAGGCAAAGTTAATGAATAATACCACAGGTCGAATATCCTGGCCCGGGTTGGCTGCCACCAATATTCTGACCCTTTTTAAACCATCTGGAGTGTCTTCGATTTGTTCAGTATCCTCAACTTGTACAACAGCATCAGCACCATCAGGTACAGGCCCTGATCAAAAAACTCAGTCAAAATAGTCATAATTTAAGAAAATCAATAAATATGAAGGCCAATGTCCATCTCCATATATACAAGAGTAACTAAATAATGGTAATGCATTCAGTGTATGCCTTCGAAAGGAGGAGACCAAGCAACAATGTTTTTCATGGCACACTCACGAAGAAAAACAACTCTTAAGATATACTAGTTATTACAGACACGAGCCACAACGGTTAGCCATGTGAGACCAAGCAACAAGCCCCATAACAACCAAACAGTATCTCATTGCAGCACTTCATGTCACAGGTGATTAAGACTATCACCATAAATTATCATTAAAGAAACACAGGCAGTGACTGAGATACATAACTGTTCTCTTAGCGAGGAACACATTTTATTTTAACTGCATTGAACACTTTGATGTTGGCCTTTAAAAGCAAATAGTGATTTCACAAGTTTCAAGTACAAAAAGAGGAGACAAACTCCTGGTCATTGTAGCAATCATTAATGGGTCATTTGCGACCTAGGATATGCAAATCCTTCTCTCGCATATCCAGGTTTTGATGGCCTAAGGTCGTTTGGATGTATTTTTGGAGATACTATCTTAGATATCCACATCCTCAAAACCTCTCATATCCAGCATTTGCTGATTCCAAAAAAACTTGGAATGAGAAAATGCAAGGTTTTGAGAAAGCTAGCTTTTGCATTGGAGCGCGTGCCTCCTCCCCTTTTTCTTTCTCACTCCTCATAATAATGATATTATTCATTAACATTTATTATAATTATTATTATTATCATAAAATATCATCAACATTATTAATATTTTTTTGAGAAAGTTAACTTTGTATTACTGAGAAGTGATAGATTACAAAGATAAGATGATCCGAGAGCACCCTCATGGCGTGTCTCTCGGTAAAAAAAGCGTCAACCAGCCATGTACAAAAAATGGGCTTATAGGACCCCGCCCGACTACAAAAATTTACAAGAAGTTTTCAAAAAATAAACCAGGGCTGATAGATTTAGCTGAATACAAAAAAGTCTATGCAGTGTGCATGTGGTCCAGAACAAAAAAGGAGTAGGACCAGGCGTGTTCTTCTACTCGGATTCTAGCTCCCTCTTTCGCCATGAGATCTGCGAGCTCGTTGGACATCCTCAAGATATGCTTCCAAGAGACGGCTGTATCCCTGCAAATGTTAGCAATTTCATCAAAAAGTGAGGCTAGGTGCCATGGTGGTGAAGTCGTAACAGTTTCCCAAGAGAGAATATTTTGTGAATCTCCTTCCACTAACAGGTGTGGACCCAATGACCGGTTGAAGCTTTTCAGACTCAGTAGTAGGGCCATGGCTTCTGCGTAATGAGAATCATTATGGCCAAGATGCTCAGAGTAGGTAAAGAGGATTTTGGGATGATGGTCTCTAAAGACGCCCCCAGCTCCTGCGGGGCCTGGGTTCCCTAAGGAAAAACCATCAAAATTGAGCTTGATGGTGCCTTTTGGTGGTGGCAGCCAGTTGTTTAGTCTTTTAGCCTTGCGCGATTGGTGGCGGAGGATGTTTCTTCATTGGCTGAGGAAAAAGTTCCCTGATATGCCCGAGAACACCTTGTGGTTTGAGGCCCAGAAGGTTGCTAGAGAAGTTGCTTGTAGAAGAGTGCTGATATGTAGAGTTTGTGACCTTGAAAAATTCTGGTATTTCTTTCCACCCAGATTACCCATATGGAAGCGGCTATGGTAGCCTTCCACAGGGTTCTTCCAACCGTAGGCCGATGTGATCCAAGATCGTATGAATTTAGGGCCTTGACCGTTGGGGCATGACCCATTGGATACCAAAGAGTTGCAACACTTGGCTCCAAAGTTCGTGAGCAAAAGTGCAGAGAATAAAAAGGTGGGGATTGGATTCCTCCTCACATTGGCACAAGGTAGATCTATTGGGGATTGAGATCCCTCTCTTTTGGAGTTGGTCCACTGTGAGTGCCCTTTGGGAGCAAGCAATCCAATTGAAAGTTTAAACTTTGGCTGGGGCGATGGTGGACCAGACTTTCGACAATACCGAGGTGGGATTCAGAGGAGAGGTGGGGGGTTGGGTAAGGCTCTTATAAAAGGAGGCTACCGTGAAGAAACCTGAAGGGGCTAAAGTCTAAACCATAGCATATCTCCCATGTGTTCAAATGAAGATCGAGTGTAGGACTGCCAAGAGTGACTGGAAGTGTTTCCTCTTCGAATAGGTTTCTTCTGAATGATGGGTTCCATACTCTTCGGCCCCCTGACAATACCATTTCCTCAGCAATAGTAGAATCTTTGTTTGAGGCTAGTGTGTAGAGGGCTGGAAAGACTCCACAAAGTGGGGTCTGTCCCAGCCATAGATCTGACCAGAAGTGCACTCTTGTACCTTCTCTTGAATGAAATCTGATGTACCTTTTGAATTGTGAGAGGGAGGAGGCAAAAGATTTCCACGCTCCTGAGGCTCTATGGAGGTGTCTCCTTTCGGGATCCTACATTTTCTACGTAAGCCCTGGGCCCAAAGAGAGTCTGGCTGAGTGGCTAGACGCCACCACCATTTCCCTAGGAGTGCCAAATTGTGTTTTCACCCGAATCCCTAGTCCTCCCTGGTGTTTGGGTAGGCAAATCTTATCCCATGATACTAGGTGAACTTTGGTCTTTTCAGCATGCCCTGACCAAAGGAAGTTTCTCATGAGCTGATCCAGGCAATTGGCCACCAAAGATGGCATGTGGAATAGGGACATGAGATAAACTAGAGAATTTGCCAGGGTGGCTTTGATCAGGGTCTCTACCTGCCAAAGAGAGGTATCTACTTTTCCACCCTGCCAAACGCCTATCAACCCTGTCTATTACAAGAGACCATTGTCACTTTTTTGGCTTCCCCAGTCTCAATGGAAGACCTAGGTAGGTTGTGGGGAGATCCTCCACTTGGCACTCCCAATTAGGAATGATCGCTCTTATTTCTGCATTCGTTTGAGCAACTCCCATCATATTAGATTTTTCCATGTCAACTTTGAACCCTGTCGCTACTTGGAAGCATTTAAGAAAAAGCTTGAGGGTATCAACTTCTCTAGGAGAGACGTCAAGGAGCACCAGGGTGTCATCTACATATTGCAGGTGAGGCATTGTTGGGCCATGGGGGCTGCTCTTGAAGCCGGAAGTAAGTACATAGAAAGAAAAACAGAGGAAGTAAGTACATAGAAAAAAAGTCCTAAAAAATGTTATTGAGATACACATATTTCATGTTCAGATGGATATAAACATGTCCATACGAGTAATCCAACTGGAAATGTGACTGGAAACTTATGGTACAAAAACTATTAAAATCTTCCAGTACATAAAAGTTAATGAAACATTGGTAGAAAAACTATCAAAAACCTCAGTATATAAAAGTTAATGAAACATTGCAGCACACAGTTATATAACTCAGAATGTACTCTTTTCCAGGAATGACCTTACCTCCAGTAGTTATATAAGCAACAGTTCCAGGAGTGATTATCATTCCCTCAGCATCATTCCCAGCTCTTGCTTCAGCGATCACAGGATATTCACCTGGACCATCAGCCGCAACAACTGCAAAACCGTCCTGCAAAATATGTCATAAGTCGCAGACATTCTCAATGATATATAAGAAGTACATCATAGAGAGAGCAAGAGAGAGAGATTCTTGCAAATTCAGGAAATTATAGTATATCAAAAGCTTTACAACTTAAAAATAAGAAATTTTAATTCCTATTTTGAATAAACATGACGATTAGAAACGACGAAATACCAATGATTCTAGCACTCTTCACTCATATTTTTGAGAGATTTTATTTTCGTTTTTTGAAATTGATGACAATACATTACTTTATAGATAATAAAAGTGAGGGGGGAATGAGGCAACCAGGTCAGGTGCTGTGTTACTCACACAAAAAGTACATACCAGAAAAACAAAAACACAAAAAAAGCCTCTTTTGTGCAAAGAACTAAGGCCTGTACATGGGTCTAAATACAGTTATGAGAATGATAAAATACAGAAAGAAAATTAGAGTCAAAGGAGATATGGGCAGAGAGGAGGTACAGAAGAAAATGAAAAGCATAGAGAGGAGAATATTGTTGCTTTTTTTTTTGGCAGGGGACGGGGTGGGGAGGAGGGAGAGGGAAAGAGGTAGGTTGGGGTAAGGTGGGAAAAAGGTGATGAAATAAAAACCTTCAACAATGGTTTTTGTTATAATACCAACCCACACCTCAGACAAACGAATGAGTTGAGAAGACGAAATGTCCCTTCTAGACAACAACGATCCCCCAAACAACCCCATCATCCAACCCAACCCATCAGCCAACCCTTTTCCACAGTAATATCCCATCAACAACCCCAACCACAATCATCTAGATCTTTCCACCCTGCAACTCCAGCCATCCCTACAAACCAAGTAACACCAATCTAGACCAGCAGAAAACCTACCACTGCCAAAGCCAAACAACAACTATTCCCAGTTAATTCACCCAAGAAAAGTGCCCCATATCACCCAGAATTTGCCAATGTGGATCCACATCACACTCTCTCTCTTAACGAAGCTAACCTTTAACCCACCTACTCTTTGCAGAAACAAGCCTCCAATCAGGCCTATAATGATCCCGATGGCCAAACTCAAGAAAGTCCAATAATTATCATCATCATCATCATCATCATCAAAGCTATTTGGGGTCAACTATACGAATTTTAGTCTATCATTCTGCTCTATCAAGGGCCATATCCTCAGTGAGGCCAAATGTCCAGATATCTTCCTCACTGATTCCAACCATATCCTTTTGGGCATAGCCCTTGCCCTTTTTGAGCCTTCCACTTCAACTAACTCACACCTCCTAACAGGTGCTATACTAAGCTGCGCTGCACATGAGTTCCTCTAAATGTTTCATTTCGAATTCTATCCCTTCTTGCCTTGCCACTCATTCATCTCAACATACTCATCTCAACTACACTCATCCTATGGGTATGTTCCTTCACTGCCCAACATTCCCCTCCTAAAAGCAAAGTTGATCTCACAACTGTCCTATAGAACTTGTCGTTCAGCTTTATTAGTATGTGGAGATCACATTGAACTCCGGCTGTACATTTCCACTTCACCTATCGAACTCTAATTCTATGTGCAATATCTTCCTCAATCTCTCAATTTTCCTGAATTATCGACCCAAGATATCGAAAGCGCATTATTTTTGGTATTTCTTGGCCATCAATCTTAACTACTTCCTCATCTGTCTAATCTTATTATTACTAATCTTGTATTCCATATACTCTTTCATAGTCCACTGAATGTTAAATACTTTAGATTCTAAAGCATCCCTCCAAAGTTCTAACTTTGTGTTGACGTCATTCCGGGTCTCATCGATCAAAACTATGTCGTCCACAAACAATATACACCAGGGTACCTCATTTTGTAGGTGCCTAGTTCAGACGTCCATAACTAAGACAGAGGTATGGGTTCAACACTGACTCGTGATGTAGACTCATTGTCGCTGAAAACTCACTTGTCTCTCCACTAGTTATTGGCATACTAATTAGTGCTCCTTCGTACATATCTCTCACCAACTCAATGTAGTGTTTGGAGACTCCTTTCTTTCCAACATCCACCAAAGTAAATCTCGAGGTATTCTATCATGAGCTTTCTCTAGATTAATAAAGACCATGTGGAGGTCATTTCCCTTTGCCCTAAGCTTCTCAATCATCTGCTGAAGTAGGAAAATAGCATAAGTTGTTGACCACCCTGGCATAAAACCGAATTGATTTTTTGATGCACTCATTTCATGCCTTAAAAGTTGCTCAAACACTCTCTCCTACAACTTCATAGTGTGGCTCATAAGTTTGATCCCTCAATAGTTCACATAATTTTGTACGTCTCCTTTGTTCTTGTAAATAAGTATCATAATACTTTTTCTCCATTCATGTATTATTTTCTTTGTTCTCAATTCCTTGTTGAATAGTTTGGCCAACCTGTCAATGTCAATCTCCCCATGGATTTCCAAACCTCTATCGGTATACCATCTGTACCTAAGGACTTCCTATCTTCATCCTCTTCAAATCTTCTTCCACTTCTGATATCCTAATCCTACGAATGTATCTATGACCTCTGCTCTCAAAAATCCAATCGACAACGAAAAATCCCCGACAGCAGCTTGCAGACCGGGTCAATTAATCCATTTGTCCCCCCCTGGCTCGCCCATCCTCCTCGACACTATCCCATTCCTTGTGAAGCGGCCAAAACCATCCTAATTTGAAGAGAATATTAGTCAAGAAAGGGATTCCCTGTTTCAGTTGACGACGCTCGTGGGGATCATCGAGCCTCCCAAAAATGATCTAAAGGAGATCAATGCTTGGGCCAAGAGAGCATCGTCCCAAACTGAAAGGCTCTACAAGGTTGGTGCATTACAGTAGCCCATTCTTTTCCCTCCCCACTCAAGAAAATGCCTTACAGGTGTTGAAATCATCCTGATCTCCACTTCATGGAGTCATCCTTCGTCTGCAACCTTGGCATCCATCATTAGGTGCCTCGAGAATCCATAAGACATGGATGTCCATGGCATCCTCCTCCATAAATGGAAGATCGAAGTCTTCAAAGAGATGGTAATAGTTGCAAGTTCTTAAAGGAGAATTGGAAGTTTATAGGGGTCCTGCCTCCAATTTCTAGCAGAGGTCCTCGATCCAGCCCTGATCCCAAATCTATTGGCCTAATTTTGCTCAATCAGAATTTCTGGTTGCATAGAACATCAAAAGGGTAGCAAGGTCCAAAGGTTGGAGTCATCAAATCAAGTATCAATAATGAGAGCAGATAAAGGGCAATTCAAAGCGATCAAAGGCAAGTAGGTAGTTGATCACTGGAAAGATCTCAAAACATGAAGAGCTCGCTCGAAATTCGAAACTCCAACAACTAGTGTTCGAAAATTCGCCTCCCGACTGCCTAGGCGAAAAAATTTAAAGAACGCCTAAGTGTTGTCTGGGCGGGGTCATTATGCGCCATGTCTTTGGGCGCCCGCCTAGACAGGCAACGTGCTGCATCAGCACTAATGTCTGGACGCCTGCTTAAGCGCCGCCCCTTGATGCTTTGCGGACGGGTGGAAGAAAAACCTCGGTGAGAGTCAGAAAATGTAATTTTTCCCCCCCTTAAAAGGGGGGAAAAGGGTTTTGGGGGTATTCCAAACCCCCAAAACAAAAAACATAGCCTTTAGGGTGAGAAAAACCACTCTTTTGTGATTTATCAAAGATTGATAAATTTTTTATTTTTTCGCTTTCTTCCCAAAATAAAGGCAATAGTTCGTGGGTGGATTTGGAGCTTCTAGGAGTTGACTTTGAGAACTTTTGACGACCCAATAGATGAGGTTTGCACCGACATCCATTTGATTTTAATATTTTTAAAGTATTATTATATTTGAAAGAGGGTTTTGATTTTATTTTGCTACAACATATTATGTTATGAATCATGTGTTTTTTCTTTTACTTTTTTTTTCCTTTTACTTTTTTTTCTTTGACAATGTATTTACATGTTTGTAGTTAAAAGATTGATTTTTTTGTGATTAATTGAATTTTTTCTCATTTGGACAATGAAATTGAGTATATATTTACATTTTTTTTATTTTCCCTTGCCGCCTTTGTGTATTGTTTCTAGTCTAGACTTCCAGTTTTCTACAATGACATTTGGGATTTCAAGCATTTTAATGTCTTACAAGTGACAATCTCTTTGAAACTCATATCATTTGTAAATTTGTTATGTGATTGCAGTGGTGTATTGTTATATTATGTTTTCGTTTATTTCACGATCACAAGGAGTTTGGGGCTCTAAAATTGCCCTAAGAACTCCCTAAGGCTTTATGCCCTAAGAACTACCCTGTTTTTTTTGTTTGAGGTGGGGGGTTCCAATTTTGGTGAGGGCACCCTGTCTCTAGGCAGGCGCCTCGGCAGCCAGGCACCCAAACTGCCTAGGCGACCGAATCTGCATTTTTTAACATTGCCAACAACATAACAAAAGATGAAGATGACTTGGAGAAAGGAGAGATATGTTGATCCAAAGAAAGGTCACTGCCTGTTTACTATGGGACACAAGCGCACACAAATATCTCCATCTCCCAAACATGCTTACCATCATCATTATGAATTCCCATACAGGTCATAACCCCAAAACTCGAAGCTTATCAAAATCCAATTTCCAATCAGATTCCTAACCACACAAGAGACCAATCCCCACCATTGAATTCCCAGACCTTGGACAAGTCAAATCTGCATGCGACTCACAACTGAAGGAAGACAGATTCCCTAGTCCCATCGATAATCCCCTTCCCGTGCTACCCTGCCAGTCACCACCTATGGATCACCGAAATTCAAATCCAAATTTCCACCACTCCTGCCCAATTTCAAACATTAGTAGCCCACCACAAATTCCAAGAAAGCCACCATCAAACACTACTCAGCCACCCCTAGCCCTGGGAGACACCTGATAATATAGAAGTTGATCCCCCTTCTATGACAAACTACATGCCGTCAGATGTAGGTTCATCCACATTAGAGGACCCAAGGGGGATTGAAAGGATAAATCAAACGTAAGGCAATATTTT